ACCCCAGTAAAACGCCCAACCCCATTCCAAAGTCGACCCGACCCACAAGGCGACGCCAGAATCTAAGATGAGTGACACTGTCCGTCTGGTCCGGTACAGTGAATGCTTTCCCAACCAGCTCCAAAACCAAACAACCCTGCCTCCCCCATATAATTATTGAAAGGTACAATGCCGTACAACCCAACCATCCCCGTCTAGTTCCACGCCTTCCACGTCTTCGACAGCGGGCTCCCCACCTTGGGCGCAAACTGCAAGCTCTTGCGGCGGGCAGCCATCAGCCGCATGTGCACGCTCTCGTCCTTCGGCCTGCCTAGGATACCGTGGCCCGGCTCCACAAAGGTGGTGCGCTTGGGCGGGCAGGTACGCATGAGCATCTCCTGTCCACGAGCATCATCGTCGAGGCCGATTGTGTCATCGCTATCGACACTGCCCACGCTGGACGGAGTGGCCGGGCCGGGGCTGACGTTGGCCGCGAAACGCGCGATGGTCTCGGGAGCCGGGGTCTTGGGCACCGGGGTGAGCGAACCCCACTCGGTGTCTTCGTCCTCGTCGTCGGCATTGCCATCTTCGCCGTCGTTGCTGAGAGATTTCTCGGGGGACCGAACCCACAAGGCGCTGGCGCGGCGGTTGTTGTCCGGCGTGCGGTGTGTAGCTTGCGAGCCGCGGCTGTTGCGCGGTTTGCCGTTGAGGTTCGAAATCGCTCGTGGCTCCATGCTCTTGCGCCGGCGGGCGCCGCCGCGTGGGACGAACGAAGTGTCGATATAATAAGGTGCTTCTTCGAGCCACTGGTTGTCGCGCTCGCAACTGAGAGTGATGTTAGCATCTCCGCAAACGTTGGGCATATTACATAGCACTTACTCCAAGACCCAGGTGACACCCACACACTGCACCAACCCGCGACTCTCGCGCACCTTCTCCATCGTGCGCTTGCCGCCATCTTTGAAAACCACATGGGTGATGCCCACCCTCGAATCCGCGCCGGCATCTGACGAGCTATTGGGGTTCCACGACCACGTTTTGACGCAACGAGCACCCATCTGCGTCAACAGATCCACAAAGACACTGCTGGCGTCGGCGCTCTCGCTGGTGTGAACATCCACAAACACCACAGCGCCGCGGAGCAGCGCCGGGTTGAGATCTCGGCGGGGCGTCCGCGCTGGAGTGCCCATCGTGGACCAGATGTCCGGCTTTTGAGGTGTTATAGGAGCAGACTCGGGCTGCTCCGTGGTCTCATCCTCAAATGGCACAACGTCGGCCCCCTTGTTCTCAGAGCACGAAAAAGCTGCGGAATTCCTAGTTATCCGCTCGGACCGTCTCGTAGGGGGAAGACCGCTGTGGCGGCGGTTCGCGGGCTTGGAGCGAGGCGTGGAGTCATCTGCGGGTTTAAGGGGCACCTTTGCGACGGTGTGGACTTCGCGGCGAATGACGCGCTGGGGAGTAACGGGCGGGATTGCCGGCGCATACACGGAGTTGCCTGTGGTAGGCGTGGGCTCCATGGGGATGGCGTTCTCGTCGCCATACTCCTGACTGGGTTCCGAGACCGAATCGTCTTGGTCATGGATGCTGTGACTGGTTTGTTCCTTTTCCGCCAACGACATCTCATTTGCCTCGGCCGCGAGTTCCATGTCCTCTTCGGTGAATGAAACGTCTTCCAGCATCACCTCGTCGTTGTCCTCGACTTCAGTGGCAGCATCCTCTTCGATCTCCGCGGCTTCTGGTCGAATGTGCATTTCATCTTCGAAAAAGGTGTTCTGCGCTGTCGGAGTAGAGCCCGCTGTGCGCGCAGGGGAGGCGACGTGTCTTTGGCTATCGACTGCCGCAAAGACGATCGGTGAGGCGGAATGTACGCCGGTTTTCAGAGGGCTGGGGCCGGCCGCCCACCCACTAAGCTGCTGTGCAAGAGGAGTAAATCCAAGCGTATCTTCCGCTTGAGTTTTCTTGGACGTGCTCCGGCTTGCCGACTGCATTGACTTGAACTGCCTTCCCGAAGGGGGGCACGGGGTGGCCGGCAAAGCGTTGAAGAGAGAAGTGGGCTTGCCGTGCTTCACGGGGGACTCCTCTTCAGAATCTGAGTCGTAAGGACGAAGGTCCTTTTCTCGAAGCTCAAACATAGGGTTGACGGCCTTGGGAGACGCCGGAGGAGTGGTCCTGGCAGATACCTCTGACGGAACCTCAACCGGAGGGTCATCCAGAACCATAGGCTCTTCCGAGCCTTCGAATTCATTTTCTTCCTTGACGGCGTCCTCAACGGCGTCCTCAACGGCATCTTCAACGGCATCCTCAACGGAACCTTCTTGGACATCGAGTTGTGGCACCATTTCAGGCGTTGCCGGCACAGATGGTGTCAAGGTCGGGTCTGCATGCCGTGGTAGGACAGCCGATAATCTGCCTGGAAAGCTGAGCCTCGTGGGCGAATCGGGCATAATTTCATCGTCACCAGCGTCCTCTGTGGCGCCGTGTGCTTCCTCAGAGTCGTCAAGCGCTTCACGGGGCAACGGGCTGGCGAGGAGAGTGGGTTTGGGGGCAGGGGTCTGATTCATGGGCCCCTCCTCTTCGATGAGGCGAGGCAGGGCCTTGATAGGAGAGACTGGTGGTCGTTTTGCCGGTGAGGAGAGGAAGGATAACTTGACCGGAGACGTACTCGGCCCACAAGCGATGTCGGATCCAAGGGGGTTCAAGTTGAGCGGCTGCCTCTTCGCAGGGGACTGAAGAAGCCCTGTCTTTGTCGGGACCTGTGGTGTCTTTCCATCGACCTGGGGCACCGATGATGTGAAGAGAAGACCCTCGACGCGCTTCGCTGGCGATTGAATGCTGCCCTTCCAGGGAGACGCCGGCATGCGTTTGGCGGGGGTGGCAAGCATATGGTTGACCTCCGTTTCGGGCCGGTTGATCTCAATCGCATTTTCGTCATTCTCTCCCAGCACGAGGGCCGGGGCCTTTGCCGGCTTGCCGTTGCCAGTGGACAGCTTGACGGGGAGCTTTTTGAAGCGCCGAACCGGGATCTTCTCGTCCATGCCGAGTTCATCATCAGATTCAACGCGGTTCACCGTCAACTGGTTGACCTTCTTAGGGCTCAGCGGCATCGGCTGCTCCGTCTTGTCACTTGGTTCGTCGGAGCCGGCGGTTCCTCGGGTGCTGCGGGCGGCCCGGGTGGCTGTGGCAGAAGCTCCTTTACGAACCGGCTTTCCGCGCAGCCCAGCAGTGGGCGCAGGCGCTGAGGCCTTGGTTGAAGCCTTCCGTGTCGCGGCCGTAGCCGGCACCATGTTTTCCTTCTCCGGTTCCTCAAACTTGACTGTCTTCCTCACAGTTGACTTTGCCGGTGCCTTCGTGGTTGTTGTCATTGTTGTGCCTGCCGGTCGGCCACGGGTAGTCTTCTTGATGGGTTCAGTGACGGGAGTCTTGGTGTCCTCTGCGGCCTTCTTGGTACGGGTTGCCTTGGTAGCCTTCACGGGCTCCTCGACAGGGGCTTCCGTGACCTTCTTGGGTCTCCCACGCGTCCTCGCGGTTGTTGCAGGTGCTGGTTCCTGTTCCGACTCTGGTGCAGGATCCTCGACGACAACCTTCTTCGGCCGGCCACGACCCCGGGCAGGTTTTGCGTCTGTAACGGTCATCTTCCTGGCCGGCTGCATCTCGTGGTTGTCGTCGTCGTCAGACGGGCTCTTCCTCTTGAGGGTCGTTCTCGCGGTGCCAGTGGTGATGGTGGATGCGCTGCGGGCCGTCTTGGCCTTGGCGGCAGCCGTCACGACACGGGTAGGCTTTGTGGCGGGCTCAGTTGACTTTGCCGCAGCCCGGGCGCGTGTCATCCTTTTTGGCGGTGACTGTGCATCCATCGTAGTGGTTTATGCTAGGAGTTGTCGCCGTGATGCTAAATAGATGGGGGGACTAATTAAGAGAAAAGGAAGGCGCTACCACCAATTGATCATAAAAAATATTACAGCAAGCGGTGATAAATCAGTAACTTGCAGGTGCTGTGTTTGGCTGCAACCGCGGCGACTCGGTGCGGTGAAGGACTTGACTGTGGGGATGGCAACTGCGTCCTGTTGATTGATGAGCGTGTCGTTGCCCGGGACGACGCAGGGGAGAGCTGCTAGCTTTTGGTGCTTGGCGAGCGAAGGTGTGGAGTTGAAAGGTTCCATCCTCAGACAAATCGGCAGTTTGAGGAAAGGAAGGGTTAGGGTGCAGGATCCAAATTGGGAGAGGCCGAAGCATGGAGGTATTCAGGTTGCAGGTGCAGCAATCAGAACAAACCCAACCCATTAACTATATAATATCCTGGTGCGCCTGGTTCTTTGCCGATCTTACATCCATCTGCATTAGCCGTTGCCTTTGTTCATGGTGTTTGGTGAACTCCGATTCTTTATTCAACTTTTTGGGATTCGTATTTGCAAAACTTAGCACCTGGCGAACCTTAAATGGCAACTGACAACTGACGACCTCTATCAGTAGCCTTGCAGTTTTGTGAGTTCCAACACACATTAGTCAAGGTCAAACAAAGCAGCAAAAAGTTGAAAGACCATCCGTCATCTAATGACCCATCGACACATTTTCCATGTCGATAGACCTTAACTGGGAAACGGTCACGGGCGGCCCCGATGGGCAGGAGCTGGCAGACCAGATCCGGGACTTTATTCACACCAAGTTCCAGTCCGTGCCTCTACCGCGCTTCATCAAATCTGTCACGGTGCACGATTTTCAGTTCGGCGTCATTCCACCCGAGCTTGAACTCAAGGATATCACCGACCCATTACCAGACTTCTACGAAGACCATGTCGATTCCGATGTGGCTTCTGACGACTCGGAAGGAGAGGAAGATGCCGTAGACAACAATCTTGCACCGCCAAGCCAGGGCGAGCGCCATCAGCGAACAGACGATTCAGAGGCCTTGGGTGGTGATGTTCGAAATCTCGGTCATCTTCCCCCGCACCTTATGTTCGGCAGTCCTGGGGGTCCCGGGGGTCCTGGGATGGGAAGTTTACGGAACGGTGACATGGGCAGCCCGTTCATGCGTGTGTCGACACCTGGGATTCCCGGTGGGACTTCCAACTTGCACTACTTCCACTCACACCTCGGGGGTGGGCTTTCTGGAACGCAAACCCCTCTCGCCGCAGTAGCCGGAGCCCAGCATCTCAGCACCGCCAACTGGCTCGAAGGCCACGGGCATAGCTCCTCCGTACCGAACCTCACCCACTTTGGCAATCCTGGAGGAGCTGGTACGAGCCCTCGCCGACAGCCCGAACGAAACCACAGCCGCAACCCATCCCAGGGCTCCATTTCCGTCGCAGACCTGAACCCCAACAGCCTCGCACCACCTTCGTCATCCACCCTAGGCGTCCCCTCCCTCAAGGAGAAACACAGCGTCTCCACCCTCGCGCCAACCTCAGCCAGCGCCTCCCGCCCCCCCAACCCGCGACAAGACCACTCCGGCCCCAGGCTCAGCCACCGCCCTCAGCGGCAGCAACGAACAGCAGCAACAGCAGCAGCCGCAAGACAACGACGACGGCCACCCGCGGTGGCGCGAGCAGCGCATCGACGACATGCAGGCCGTGTTCCGGATCCGCTATGCCGGCGACGTCAAGCTGCTGCTGACGGCCGACATCCTGCTGGACTACCCGATGCCGAGCTTTGTCGGCATCCCCGTGCGGCTGAGCATCACGGGCCTGACCTTTGACGGCGTCGGCGTGCTGGCCAAGATCAGGAAGCGCGTGCATTTTTGTTTTCTGAGCCCCGAGGACGCGGCCGCCGCTGTTGGTGGTGATGGGGAGGAGGGGCTGTCTTCTCCTGGTGAGGGGCCAAGTCAGGCACAGGGACAGGGACAGGGACAGGGACAGGGACAGGGACAGGGGCAGACTCCGGGGGCGGGGCAGCAGAAGCAGCAGAAGAAACAGGCTGGGTGGGTTGGGTCGGGAAATACTAAGCTTGGAGGGTTGTTGCAGGAGATTAGGGTGGAGAGTGAGATTGGGCAAAGGGAGAGCGGGAGACAGAGTCTGAAGAATGTGGGTAAGGTGGAGAGGTTTGTCCTGGAGCAGGTGAGGAGGATATTTGAGGAGGAATTTGTATACCCGAGCTTTTGGACATTCCTGGTGTAATTCAATCATCACGGGGATCGTTTGGAACCATGTGTTTATGAAAGGGTGCTCTTGAACCCCTGATATGCCGAGTTGATGTCTAACTCCAACTCCCGCGCCTGGTCCTCGCCCAACTCTTCTGTCGCCTTCATCTGGTTCAGCGTGATGAGCCACTGCACGATCTTGCCCCTGTTCTCAAAGTCTCGGTCCGTCACCTTGTTCACTGACTGGATGACGTCTGTCAGGAGGGGGTGCAGTTGGTCCTTCGCCAGCAACCCCAGCCGTAGCGCATCTAAGAATGTGATAAAATCTTGTGTCGCTTCCAAAATCAGCGTACCGCTGGTGTTCCCCGCCGCGGCTGGCGTAGGGGCGGCACCAGAGCTGGCCGTTACGGCAGTCGAGGGCATGCCCACCCGGATCCTCTCGGTTGCGCGGGGGACTTCGAGCTGTATGGTCAAAGCCCAGTCAGCTTCCCTAAAAAGTCAATCTGCCGTTCCAGCACCAAGACATACATCCCACTCGGCCTTGAACTCCTCCAACCCCACAAATGCCTTTGCTACCGTTTCATCGGCAACCAGGGACTTGTACTGCTTCAGCGACCGCTCGCAGATCTCGGTGTAATCGGCCTCGGGGATGGCATCTTTCAGAAACGCTTTCTCGAGCTCATCGATCGTGACTATGATGCTGAAGATCTCGGCGAGGGAGTCCTGTAAGTCACGTTCGGCGCGTGTGTCGGCAAGCTTGACCTCCTATGGCACCGTTCGGTCAGCGAGCGGGAGGGAGCTGGGTGTGGGATGGGACACTGCGGCGCGAACCTCGTCGAGGTTGATGGTTGCTGACAGCGTCGAGTCGGGAACATAGCTGTGCGGTGTTGGCGCGTAAGGTTGCCGTGGTATCATGGTGATGGTCGGATACAGTGGGATCGGCTAATCGTCTGTCAGACACAATGCTAGACACGGAGCACGAGGAGCTGTTATCGTTATCGAGGATGATGGTCGAAGATGGCTAAAAACACAGTGGGGGCGGGTTTGGAGATGGAGATGGAGGGGCGCCCCACCGATCGCAGCAGAAACTATTCCATTCAAGGTTTAGCGTACAAGTGTTCCGTCGATAAGACCCCACGATAAGGATCCCAGTTCGCGAGTCTTGAAAAAAAGTTTAGAACCTCATATGAACTCCCCTGTCAACCACCCTCAATTGCCTGACCTAATCGCACACTGCGTCCCGAGCGCACCTGTCGCCCACAATGGGGACCTCAAAGAAGAACCTGAAAGCGACCAAGAAGTTCGAGAAGAACCATCTTAAGGGCGTCCTTGAGAAAAGGAAGACGGTCGCCAAGATCAAGCAGCGACAGCAAGTCAAGGACAAGAAGAAGGCCAAGCGATCGCAGGATGACGAATTCTTCAAGGGGCCTGGCGGCGATGGCGAGAAGAAGGTTGTCAGCAAGAAGCCGGGCGCAAAGACGAATGAGATGAGCGTCGACGACTTCTTCAAGGGCGGCTTCGAAATCCTCGATACCAAGTCCAAGGACAAGACCAAATCTTCCCCAAAGCTGGGAAAGCGCAAGCGGGGCGAGCCCAACGCTCAAGAAGATGGGACAGAAGAGAGCGGTAGTGAACCCGAGATCTCGGACAACGACGAGCCCGTGGGCAGCGACAGCGAGCCCGACGCCGACGACATCAGCGATGCAGAAGACCTGGGCATGTCCAAGAGCGCCATGGACGCGCTCGCGGAAAACGACCCGGATTTCTACAAGTTCCTGAAGGAGAACGACCCGGAGGCGTTAGATTTCGACGAAAACGCAGATCTTGCCGAGGTCGACGAGCTCAGTGGCAGCGAAGATGAAGATGAACAACCAAAGAAGAAACAGAAAAAAGACAAGAAGGCTACCAAGGAAGAGGAAGGAGACGACAGGGAGCTCACACAAGCAATGGTTGCGAAGTGGAAGGCTTCAATGGATGCGACACGCTCCCTCAGGACCGCCCGCCAAGTTGTGATCGCCTTCCGCTGCGCAGCACACCTGAACGAGGCCGACGAGGAGAACCCACAACGGTACAGCATCACAAGCCCAGAGGCATTCCATGATATTGTTGTTGTTGCGCTCAAAGGGATCCCCGACGTCCTCCAACACCATGTCCCAGTTAAGGAATCGGCTGCTGGCAAGGTATATGTCCAAACCGAGGGGAAGAAGTTCAAGACACTGTCGATTCTCATCAAGAGTTTTGCCGCCTCCATTATTCGGCTGCTTGGCACATTATCCGATGAGGCAACGCTCAAACTCACATTATCGGCGCTGCAACCGCTTCTACCATACCTCCTTTCCTTCAGGAAAGTTCTCAAGATGCTCATAAAAACCGTCGTTGCCTTCTGGTCCCAGTCTGCCAGCTCCGACACCACTAGGATAACAGCTTTCCTAGTGATCCGCCGACTCGTGGTCATCGGCGACAAGGCCGTCAGAGAAGTCGTCCTAAAAGCCGCCTATCAAGGCCTGGTCCAGGCAGCCGTCTCACAAACGCCAACACCATCCAGGGCATCAACCTCATGAAGAACTCGGCTGCCGAGCTCTGGGGCCTCGACCAGAGCTTAGGCTACACAACGGCCTTCGCTTCGATCCGCCAGCTTGCCATCCACCTCCGGAACAGTATTGTCAACAACAAGAATGACTCGTACCGCTCCGTCTACAACTGGCAATACGTGCACTCACTCGACTTCTGGTCGTGCGTCCTCTCGGAGCACTGCAGCCCTCTCAAAGAAGCCGAGGCCGGCAAAGAAAGCCAGCTCAAGCTCCTCATTTACCCGCTCGTCCAAGTCACCCTCGGCGCGATGCGCCTCATCCCCACCGCGCTCTACTTCCCGCTCCGCTTCCAGCTCATCCGCTCGCTCCTCCGCCTCTCGCGCGCGACCGACACCTACATCCCACTCGCGTCGGCGTTACTCGAGGTGCTCAGCTCAGCCGAGATGAAGAAGCCGCCCAAGTCGTCGACGCTCCGGCCGCTCGACTTCGCCGTCGCCTACAAGGCGCCCAAGTCGTACCTGCGCACGCGCGTCTACCAGGACGGCGTCGGCGACCAGGTGGTCGAGCTGCTGGCCGAGTTCTTCGTGCTCTGGGCGCGCAGCGTCGCCTTCCCCGAGTTCGCCCTCCCCGTCGTCATCAGCCTCAAGCGCTGGCTCAAGGAGAGCCGCAAGCCCGGCCGCGGCAACAAGAACGGCAAGATGGCCTCCGCCCTCGTCCTGCTCGTGCAGAAGCTCGAGGCCAACGCCAAGTTTGTCGAGGAGAAGCGCGCCAAGGTCGAGTTCGCCCCCAAGGACCGCGCCCAGGTCGACGCTTTCCTCAAGGACCTGGAATGGGAGCGCACGCCGCTCGGCGCGTTTGTGGTTTCGCAGCGGAAGCTGAGGGCCGAGCGTCAACGGTTGGTGGAGGAGGCGCGCAAGGAGGAGGATAAGAAGCGGAAGGAGGAGGAGAAGGAGGCGTTGGATGGTCGTGATGAGGGGGAGAGTGGGGCGGATGAGGATGAGGATATGGAGGGGAGTGACGATGAAGAGGGAGAGGGGGAAAGTGAAGAGGAAGAGGAAGAAGAAGAAGAAGAGGATGAAGATGAGGATGAGGAGGAAGAAGAGGATGAGTAGAGATACATATCTTCCATATCACCTGTTAGGGGCTACGAGGGCGCTGGTTGCGCACATGTTCAGTGCATTATTCCAATACGACTTCTGTTGGGCGCATGTTGTCCATAAACCTTGCTCATCCATCCCCCTCCCAACTAACACTACTTGCTCCCACTCACTTCCCCTCCTCCCCGTGTGTGCCTCACCTCCAACTCGAATGTTCCTCAAGCGGCGTCGGGTCGCAATACTCCAAGCCACCATCATCATTATCCACCATCTTGATCCCCATCCCACCTTCCTCGTCACTGTCATCGTCGTCATCGTCATCATCAACATTGTCCACCGCGTTCTGGCTGTATGAGGACGTGAGAATGGGCCTCGCGTGGACTGGCATCTGCGAGGGCGGGGCAGCAGGCGCTGATGCTGTGGATGTTGCGCGGGTTGGCGCCGCATACGGTGGGAGGTTGGCAGTTTTGTGTTGAGGGGTTGGGGGCGTGGTGTTTGTTGTTTGGTTAGAGGGTACTACTGGCTTGGGTGGGCTTGGGTTCTGTTGCGGAATGGTAGCTTGCGGTGGGCGCGGCGGCATGGCGGGCTTCGGTGTGCTGTCTTGGCTTGGCCCGGGGGTGTCTGATATGTCGAGGCCTAGTAGATCCTGGGTGACTGCCATGGTAGATGTTTTTGCCCGGGTCACTGTCGTTCGCTGTTTGCTACGCTGGGCGGTGGGCGGCTGGGGCGCTGGTGTGGATTGCACTGGCGGACGAGCCGGCTGGCTTATGCTGGGGGGAGGAGCTGTGAGGTCTGGGCCGTCGAGGTCGATCAGGTTCGCGCTCTCCTTGTCGAGGTCGCTCAGCTTGATAATGTCCTCGTCTTCCTCGATCGGCCCGTCAGCGCCCCGGACGACGGGAATACCACATTTGGCGAGAATCTTGGAGATGATCTTGGCGTATCGCATGTGCCCCTGAACCTCTTCCGTAAGGTTCAGGTTCTCGACCCCTTCGATGTCTTTGATCTCCTGTAGACCGGCGACCCCAAGCTGCATGGAAGTTGCGCGATAGAGGAAGGCGAGGAGGTAGTCGTTCTCAGAGTAGACGTTAAAGAGTTTGCCGGATACCACGGTGCGGATCATCTGCCAGTGCTGTCGGTTAGACGGGACCGGGGCGCCAATAAAGACGACCGAGTCGACCAGGCCGAAAGCCCGCCGCGCGGCGAGGGTGCGGAGGCACGAGTAGATAACCCGGGCGCCGAGCGAGTAGCCGATAAGCGTGACCGGACGCTCGCCTTGTACTTTGTTGATGAGAGCGTCAGCAAGGATTTCACCTGCCTTCTCTGACCTGTTTTTGGCGAGACTGAAGGGATTATCAACGCTGGAAGCCGCTGATAGAAGGTAGGCTGGCCAAAGAGCAGACCACAGCGTTGCCAAAACGGTTCTTTTGAGAATCTCGACCCTGACCGTGTTCCAGGCGTAGGAAGAGACCAAGTCCCGCAATGTCTTGCCGAGCCCTAAAAGGCTGTCCATTTCGTACCGCAGAGCAAACGCCTCGGAATCATCACCGAGGGCGCGCCATGGCTTGGTAACGTCGTCTTTCGTACTTAGCCAGCCGTTGATGCCGATGGTTACTCGGAGACGCCTGTCGTTCTTACTGCTGCCCCTTGTGCCCCACTCGTCTTTCAAGGGGATGAAGCGGAAGTCCTTGACTTCTCTGGCATATTGATCGACCATTTCTCCCTGGTCAGAGTATTAGCTCACTCTCAGGGACAGCGTGTGGCCCGGCTTACCGTCATCCTCGCCCCGAATGCGCCAAACAGCGTCCCCACAAGCGCACCGTTCATCCAGAAGATACCCAGGAAAGACGCAACGCCCCCGAGGCCTACCGACCCCATGATGCCGCCAATCGCGCCCGCAACAACGGGAGCAGCAAGGCCGCCAGTAACCCCAATGAGAGCAGCCCCTGCCACCGAGGCCAACCCAACCTTCCAGTACCGGCTCGCCTGATTCTGCTGCCTCCGCTTCTCCGCCTCGGCCTCCGCAGACATGGTCTGCTGCTGCCTTTCCGCCTCGGCCGATCTCTCAACCAACGATACCGCAATCTCTACCTCCTCAGCATTCAACACAGCCAACGGCAGCTCCAGCGCCGAGGTGAGATAGACGGCCATCGCTCTTGAGTCGGCCGAGTAGTGGCCCGTCAGCAGCAGCACCAGCAGCACGCAGCTGAGCGTCTCCTTGCGGTCCTCCTCCGACAGGGTCACTAGCCGCGTCGGAATGGGATGCCAGTGCGACTGCAGACGCGCCACGGCCGCGGCGGGGTCCTCCTGTTCCCCGTCATCCTTCGCCTGCCCCGACCCCCCTACCCCACCATCCCCGCCCTCCTCCGGCCACGCATCCCACGAGCCGAGTAGATCCGCCCCGTGACCGGCAGACCCACTGCTACCGCCTCGTTGCGGCTGTTGCTGCTGCTGCTGTTTCTGGCGCTGCAGCTGAGCAATGCGCTCGGTGCGCTTGCGGCGCTCCTCGACAATGGCGGCGTCGTCGGGCGCAGATAGAACTTCCTTGAGCCGGGCTAGCACGTCCTTGCGCCAACCGTCAAATTGCTCGACGGCGGCGGCGCGCAGGCGCACGAGGGCCGGGTTGGGCGGGGTCTTGTCGGTGGCTCCGGCCCCCGCGGGGATGATGATGCTGTTCTCGGCCGAGGGGTCGATTAGTAGCGGCGCGGTGCCCGAGTTTCCCCCCGCAAGCTCGTGGAATTCGAGCTGCGAGCGCATGAAGGCCGTGATTTCGATCAGGAGCGTGTACAGGGCCTTGCGCCGGGCTAGGTTCAGGACGGTGAGAACCTGGCGCGGTTCGGTGGCGAGGGGCGCCATGGTGGTTGGAGGTGCGTCACTGTCCTGGCCTCGTGTGTATTGAGATGGAAGAAGGCTTCGGCTCTCATTTGGAGAGGCGTCGTCGAATGTATTCGACCCCTCATCAGAGCCTCATTCCTCTCATCACACTGCAGAAGGATCCGTTTCTAAGTTGGGACAGGGGTGTAGTTATCGGGAACCGAAAATTGTTAACCTATTTGGGAGCAGAGAAAGGTACTATTAAAAAAAATATGTTGCAATTGCATGTTTGTGCGACTTGTCATTTCTTCCGGCAGCCCCGAGCGTTGGATGAAGTCACATTGGGAATGCACGCGATGATGGAGAACGGTCTAGGCACTGCTGCCTGCCGACCCATCGAGCAGGTTTGGCTGGCCATACAAAAAAGCCTTGCGCGGCGGAAAGCCTCATAACATGTATGGGCTCGGAGAAACAAAAGGAAGTAAAAAAATCCTCAACAGCAACGGAAACATTAGTCAGATACCTTATTTATATTCATAGTTAACGTACCTGGATTTGCTGGAGTGAGTTAGTTAATCGTCCATACAGATTACATAAAAAGCAGGGGGGAGAAAAGACCAGGCAAGAAGAAAAATGACCTCTCGCGTGCATCTCCACATCACGCGCCAACCAACCCCTTTTTGATAGAGTCTGGCGCCTGGTTGGGCAGAGACACAGAAACTGGGAAGTCAGGCCCTGAAATGGCAAGATCTGTTTGGCCAGCTCGCCTCGGTAAAACGTTCCCAAATCGGGAAGCAGTTTCAAGGACCATGATTGATTGATCCATCCCCGGGAATCCGGCAGGCAGGACAGTCTCCATAGGCGGGCAAGTCTCCATAGGCAAGTCTCGCGCTGCCCAGGCTCGAGTCAGGGAAGGTGCAGGTGGCTTAGAGGGAAAGCCCCCCTTGCGATTCTTTCCGAAGCAGCCGAACAGTCCGTTACGCGGCCATCAATAATATCTTTCATGTATGGATGTATGTGCATACATAATTCGTACAAACTGCCCATATTTCCTCAAAGTTTATTTTTTCCTCGGTTCTGTGCTATCAACAGCCTAGACTGGTTAGGGGACCCGAGAATAGACTAACGCTAATGTCGGCCCTGCAGGATCCGGGAACCAGCAGCCAGCAGCCCACCCCCAGCACCACACCAGCACCACCAACCCAGCACCAACCCGGCACCAACCCAGCACCAACCCAGCACGCGGCACCACCTCTTGGCATTCAAAACCCCCGGTGTCCCGCCCCGGTGCTTGGCTCTGTGGCTCTGCTCGGCTTCTTCCTTCTGCACTCGATTCCCTGGACTGAGCTTTCCCTGAGCTCTGGACGAAGCATTTTTGTTCCTTTCCTCTGCATCCTATCAAATAACTAAACCCATCTTTTGTCGCCCCGCACCTGCGCCTCCGCTCACCAGGCGGATGCCTGCGACCGTCATGCTCCAGGGCCATCGCTGAAGCCCTTCGACATGTCCGACAATGTCAATGTGTGAGTTTGAGTTTTGAGTTTGGGGGTGGTTTTGGAGTTTGGAGTTTCGAGTTTACGACCCTCTCGGGCTCGGGCAGCAGCTTGGCGATGGGTTCCCGTTTCCCGTTTCGAGGCCTCGCCCCTTGGCTGAGCCAAGCTTTGCGCCAAGCCCGGGGTTCAATTGTTCAGTTTCCTAGGTAGTCCATCCACGCAAGACGAACCCGACAAACTGACGTTCCATTGACAGCCCTGGATGAAATACGCAATGTCATGTACGTCTATTTCTTCCATATTTAACCCATCCCATACCATCCCATACCATCCCTACATGTCCGCCCCTAGCGACGGGCTCAGGTTGTTGCGGCCCGGTCTGCCGATGTTCACCGGAAAACACAACCGCGTCGTCGTCGTCATGAGCCAACCTGGCTTTGTGTCTCCCTAGACACTACATACCTACATATTACCCTAGCCTTGTGTCACCCTCATCCTCAATTACTACAAATCTGCAAATGCAAAGCACAGCATGCCTTAGGGTGCACTGCACTTGCCTCGTCGACAATGGCTTGCGTCCTCCTGCATTTTGACACCTTGGTGCCGCAGCCCGACTAATGAGATGAGATGATAGTCTTTTATTTAGCAACCCGTCATGGAAGGGGGCCAGTACGGTCTCGAGTACCGTCATCAGGAATATCACCGCGCTGTCGGTATGTTGTGTTGCCTACCTTGACACGCTGTATCGATTAGACAACCCCCCCCTAACTCAGTAACAGAGCCAGATGGCGTACTCGGCCCGTTTCGCTGGAAACACCACGACCCTCTCCACCAGGCTCGCCCCCGTTGCGAACGGTGTTGTCGCGGGCCTATTATTTGTCCCCGACCTCTCCTTTGGCGACTCCTGTATCTTAGAGACGGCATCCCATGTCCCTTTGTCCGTTGTTAGGCAGGCCAATCTGCCACCCATGAACTACCACCTGGTCGCCATCGCCCCTTGGGTGAACGGCCGGTGCGCAGAGGCCTTCTTGGATGCTGCGCGAGCCGCTCCCGTACGAGCCTTCCTCTTCTACAAGCCCGGGACCGGGTCCGGTGCGCCGCCGTCGACCGACTCGACCGAATGGCATATTGACGGCGGGCACAGTTGGATGACACGAACCAACTGGCCCGTCTACGCCGTTTCCGGCATGGTTGGCGAGGTCATGATGCAGCACCTGAGCCTCTACTCGGGGAACGTGACCGAGGTTCCGTTTGGCCGCAACATCAGTGAGCGCTACTTGGCTGACCCTGAAGATTACCTGCGCATCTGGACCGAACTCGACCTAAGCACGCCACCATCAGGTCTCGAGACCTGGGCCTACGTCCTCATCATCATCGGTGTGCTTCTCACCGTCATCACCTCGACATCAATTCTCATGCACGGCGTCCAGGCTTGGCGCCGCGTTGGCCTTCGGCGCCGCGTCGTTGCGGGAGAGGTCAATCTCGAAGCCATGGGGATCAAGCACCTCACAGTACCACAAAGTCACATCAAAAAGTTTCCTTTATTTACCTACCATTACGAGCCAGATACTGCCAGCCCGCCCTCGTCCCCACGGCCGCCCAGAATCACACGGGTGAGGACGAGATCAGGCGGTACGGACCTGGCAGAGGGCATCGCGGCAAGCCGAGCTGCACAGTCCGCCACAGTCTCCGATTTTGGCATGAGCAGTCCATTTACGGCCTCTACCACTGCGACAGATTACCAGCCCAACTGCGAAATCTGCCTCGAGCGTTACGAAAATCGGGTGACGGTCATCCGCGAACTCCCATGCGGCCACATCTTCCATCCCGAGTGCATCGATCAGTTCCTCCACGAGATCAGCTCCCTCTGCCCCATCTGCAAAGCGAGCATGCTTCCCGAGGGATACTGCCCAAAAGTCACCAACGACATGGTGCGCCGGGAGCGTGCCATCTCACGACTGCGCGGCCACGTTGAGGTCCTGGACGACAGCGAAGAAACTGTTCCGGCGAAACGCCAAGGGCGGTGGGCGGCCACTAAAAGCAGTTTCTTCGGCGGCCGGGGGGTCGGTATGTCGTCCACCTCGACCGAACTCAAGGAGACCAAATCCAAACCCAAACCCAAGAAGAAGAAACCACCACAGCCTATCCGGCTGCAACTGCGACCGCCAAACAGCCAAGCAGCTGCTGATGCAGATGATGGCGCTGATGTCAACGCTACTACCCAAATCGCCACCACCGCGCTAGCAAGAGAACGAATGCGGGAGCTGGCTGGTTATGAACCCGACTACGGGGGCCCCCGTATAACAAGGTGTAAGTCCCGTCGTGATGTTGGTATACTCTTGGAGGGACTTATTGAGCTAACAATTGTGCAGGGCAACGAATACGCACGAGGATATTCCCGGGTTTCTCATGAAGCGGCAACCTCCGGTTTCTGTCAAGATTTTTTTTGGAAGTAGTTAAAGCGGATAGAATGCAGGATACCCTCTTGGATTTTTCTTGGATTTTCGGGTTGAATGCATACCTCGTGCGGCGATGGACATGTGGGATGGGAGGTTCACGCCTGGGGCTGGGCCGGGCTTGTATATATACCAACTTTGGGTAATGTATACTGAAAGTTGGGATACCACCAAACGAGTTCCTACCCCCGCCTGTTTTCGTTGTCTCTCACATCATCAACCACCAACCCAGGAAAGCCAACCGTTTCTCCCCATTTATAGCCCTCTCGGACTACGCGCGCTAGGATACACACACCCCCGGTTGCTTCAAAAGAATATAAAACCGAAACCCTGCTCAAAAAGATACTGGAGAGCTAGACATAGGTATCTGCCCCGGACGCCTAAAACACCACACATTGCCCATGGGATACCTATACATCAGACGACACGGTAATACGCCTTATCATCCGCGAGAGAGAACGCCCCAGAAACCGCCGACCGAAACACCAAAAGGCAGACCATCCGAACGCACTGGCTAGGTAAGCGGAACAGATTGCGAGCGGCCGCCCACGAAAGGAAAAGACGAGTCTCTTTTCTCTTTTTCTGAAAGGAAAATAAAAAAAAAGGAAGGAAGGAAGGAAGGAATCCAACCCGGAACGTTACACCACCACGACTATCCTCTCCACTCCTTAATCCAAGCCTTCTTTTCGTCATCAACTCCGCCATCTCCCCCGGCTTAAAAATCGTACTATCCGGATCCCGCACCCGCGGCACCCTCGCCAGCCCCTCATCATCGAACACCGTCCCAATATTATCAATCCTTTCGCCTCCTACGCTCCATCACCGTCCTCGTCAGATCCCCAATCCCCGGCCGCGCCATACCCGCCCCGGCACCCCCGCCCGCAGCGGCAGCGGCAGCAGCGGCCGCGGCCGCCGACTGGCCCGGGCGGGCCTTCTTGGGTTTCTTGCCCATGGTGCGCGTGCGCTTGAGGTAGGCAGCCTGGACCTGCGAGTCGAGGTCCTCGAGGATGGTCTGGTACTCCTGGAAGGCCATGCGCTCCTTGACGAGTTCGGTGAGGCGCGCCTTGCGCGCGCCGTTGACGAGCACCTGCTCGCGCAGCCGGGCTTGGAGAAGCCGCATGCGCGCGGCGACCTCGTCGTCGTAGTGCCCGTCGTATTCGGCTGTTGCGGCGGGGTCGGCGGCGGTGGATAGGCTGCTGCCGCCGTTGGTGTTGCTGCCGTTGTTGGCGCCGCTGCCGCTGCCGCCGGGTCCGGAGGAGTTGGTGCCGTTTGGGTTGTTGGAGGATCCGCCGCCGTTGGTGTTGGGGGCGTCTTGGGAGAGGAGAGGGAGGAAACCGATATGGCGGAGCTCCTGCTTAATGCGTTCGTCGACTTGGGTGTAGTCTAGTTTTTGGGTGGGTGGCCTTTTTTCCAAGGGTTCGCTGTTGGACTCTGGCATGTAGGTTGCGGCCGGAAGGGCTTGGGGGTTGTGGGGGTAGGTCGGGGTTCGTTGAGAGGGCGTGCCGTTGACGCCATTAGCACCGCCGTTAGATTGGCTGGTTGGTGGGTTATCGCCGAAGCTAAAGTCAAAGGTAGCGACTCCGTTAGTGCCGTCGCCATCGCCGCCGATGCCGTTGAGACCACTCGGCTTGTCTTCGGCTGGTGGTGCGCGATGCTCCGGACGCATGGCTTGGAGGAGCCGTGACAGGAGGGGGCCGACGGAGAGCTTGTCAGTCTCGGCCACCTCATCCATCCATGCTCTCGATATTTCCGCGCGCCTGGTTGGGCGGCAGTTTGCCCGGTGGTGATGAGTCGATGGCCATTCCACCATCCTCCTCGGCCCAAATCTCCGTGTAGTGTCTCTTGCCTCGTTTCGGCATGACAAATGGTATCATGCGATCGCCTCGCTCCCGAAGAAATGCAAGATCTTCCTCTGTGAAGGGCCGGAAGTATGGCTCGATGTAGGTGCTGAAGGTACTGAAGTTGATCTGGTTGCTGGGCTTGGCGCTACTGAAGTCTTTGTCTGGGGGATCGCCGGCGATGAGGTCTGCCAGGTCGCTCTTGGGGTATCCTGCGACCGAGTATATTTCTTTTATTTCGTCCTCGGTCATGCCCGGTTGTATGGGTAGGATCTCGTAAACGGTCGGGTCGGGGAACGTAGAAGGATCATCGCCGAATGTATTGGCTTGCGGCCGCGCGGGGGGTGGCGGACGGCCATCGTCAGAACTAGAGTCGTCGTCGTTCGCTTCGGTCTTGGCTTTGTCCTCGACGTCCATGTTGCTCGGCGTCCGGGGCGCAACCGGCGAAAGTGAGGAACTAGCCGAGTCCTTGCCACGAGATAATTTTCTAGCTTTTCCTGTCGAGTCGCGGAGGGGCGATGATCGTTCTGGTTGCAACGGTCAGTCAGGAAGGTCGCGGGTTGGTTTGCAAATCCGGATTCGAGGAGAAGTGGGTAATGCAAAGCGCAAGTTCTAACCGCATTCACACGGTTTGCGAAATAATCACACGGTCCGAAAGAACAGGACAGAAAAAAAACAAAACTTGGGATGAATGGTGGTGACTAACCCGTGTTCCCGGCATTGGGTGCGAGCGAGTCTGCGCCTTTGCGCTTCTTCTTATTTGATTTTCTTTCGCGTTCCCCGTCGTCGGCGGCACGCTGTCTCCGCTCTTCTTCTCTGCCCCGCTCCATGGCGAGCTCATCCATCCTCTGCCTACGGCTCAGAGCGAGCAGCCTCATTCCGCGGTCGCAATGGCTTCCTCTTTTCTCTATCACATCGCCCAGTCGCTGCAGACGCGTGAGGATGCCGTCGAGGCTTTTGGAGTCGGGGATCGGCGTGCTAGAGGCGGGTGGATCCACCATGTCCTCGAAGGTCAGATTGCGAAAGATATCAAAACGCAGCTCGATGGTTTCGGTCTCGATAGTTTCGAATGGAGGAAGACTGGCAGATGGGGGCGCGGGGCCGGGGGTGGTGTTGCGGCTCCGCTGCTGCTGCTGTTGCTGCTGTTGGCGAATTGCGCTGGCACCCCCCTTCTTCCCTGTCCCCTTCTGGCTCGATGATGGAGCCATCCTCAATTCCTGGGTCGTACTCAGTCACCTTCTTCTCGCGCGTCAAACTGCTGGGAACAAAGGCTCTCCGATTTTTGCACGCGGCAACAACGGTGGCGTCTGGCGCGTCTTGTTACTCTCAGCGAGCTGTCGCGAGGCTCGGTCGTTGCTGGAGGCTCACAAGGCATGCACGTCACATCCAATGATGACGGGAGCTTGGCCACAAAGACGCACCCACCCCTGTTGGTCTCGGCGCTCCAGGCTGTTGTGAAACCGAGCGGGGCTGCCAGGCCGCGGGCGGATCACGCCAAAGACCAGCTCAACCAGCAAGAAGAGGTATGTTGATGACTCAGCAAAGAGAGTCTAGGAGTCTGGGGGCAGAGGAACCGTGCATCTGGAAAGGTGCTGAGGCTGAGGGAGGTTGTCATGGTTGAATTGCCGCAAGCCGTATCAACTCAACCACTTCTTCCTCGGCACCGAAGTGAAGAGCAACAATTGCTATAATATGTGCATGTCGCTGTTTGCCTCGCGGGGTTATTTCACCCCCCATCCGTGCCGTCCAAGCAGCAAAAAGCATACTTTGGGGTATATACAAGTAATGAATGGTCCCCTCGAGAGGTATACCTCGCGCGTTCAGTGTGGTGGCGGACTCGAGAGGACGGAGATTTGCGTTTGGCAGACTGTAGTTATTCATTATTCACTTCCTCATCCAAGCAACACAACTCCAACACCATCGCAGCGCATCCAAGTTGTAAGTCAATCAACAGCCGCATCTCTTCTCTACCCGCGGCAATGTTTCCAGCAGGGAAAGCGCGGTGTCGTCAAGAATAACTTTCGGAAGGCGTCTTGGGCGCCCAGGGGAGGGGTACCCTATGGCGCCGCTGTTGCTTTCCCGTGGCTCCATGCATTTTCCCGATTGGCCTCAGAAAGCAACCCCACTCACAAAACTTTGGCCGATAACAGGCGAGCGAGCAGCTGCCACCGCATGTAACCAGAAGGGTCCATACCAAATTGCTAGCATGGCGTGCATGGCAGGGTAACGGATGGCGTTTGGGTCAATTGACATTCCCACGTCGGAAGCAGGCAGCTTGCCATGAGATCGTGTTTCACAGCAGGCCCCATCCGCAACGGTAGTGTATTGTGGCCGTTGATCGGGGGTCCAGGGCCAAGTTGCTCGATATTGGCAATGTCTGCGCTGTCCACAGTCGCTCTACCGTGCTGCAGGATGCCTTATGACAGGTAACCTTGCTTTTCAAGGACGGGATGAAGACCCAGACAGGGCGAAAGTCGGGTTTTCAGCTCAATTCTGAGCGTCACTAAACCACCTCGATATCCGAGGAATGCAGCATGAGATCGAAGGCAACACCTCCCCGCAAACTATCGATTGATACACACACGACAAACGACTCGAAACCAGTACTTTGGGATCAGACAGTCTGTACGCACGGCTCGTTCTTAACGTGCAACGCACAGCCCGCGGTGGATTTAGACATGTGGTCAAGCGATTGGTCGACGGCGGCACACCACACCCGAGCCCACTCTGCACATACCCCGGGACTAGGTGGGTCACGATTCACGGCTCGTGTGTGCTAGGCGGCTGCTGGTTCAACGTCTGTAGGGTTCTCGAGGGACCATGTTGCCGATCTGGCATCCTTGAGGAGCGAGGAGAAAGTCGACTTGACTCGCCTCGGGGGGGAGGGGGCGTGTGTGCGTGTGTGTGTGCGTGTGTGGGTGGGTGCTGCTCCTGGGACGGGAACACAGCTATTTATTTAGTTTGCCCTCTCTCCCATCTCTCTACGTCCCTTCTCTTCTCTCCTTTCCCTCTATCCGCGGCTGTTCATTCAACCCAAGACTCGTTTCAACACGTTTGCCTCTCTGCCAAGCATGAGAGAATACCATGGCTTCTCTTGGTGGTAACATTTCGCCCCCTGAGAGCATCATCAGCCCCCAAATCTTTGTTGCTGGCCTTGCCGGTGTGGTATTCTTTACCATCGGCTTCTACCAGCTGTCAAGCAAGCATCATCAGGATGGCAACCCTGACGAGCCTAGCGTCGTCAAGTCCATCTTGCTGTTCTGCTACAATTGCTTTTTAAAGCCGCACTCGCGTGCCGCTCAAGGCGGCCAGCAGGGTGCCCTAGAATCGTTTTACGCTGGCCAGGCCGGTGCTGTATGTCTCCCTTATAACGACTCATGCTTTTGGCTGGCCCCCTTCTCGTCACCAACGGGTCGGGGGTCAACCAGCCTACGCAGACGAGCAGCCGACAGCTCACCACCGAGTCCCAAACCGCTGACACCACCGGCAGTACGATGTGACTAGGAAGGCGCTCCTCAAGGGCCGCGAGGACATGCTGGCGCTCGCCGCAGCGCAGCTCCTCTTCAAGGCCGAGAAGCAGGACGGCGGCGCGCAGAAGAAGCGCATCTGGGTTGACGTGGGCTTCCCATCCACCCCAATTTCAAGTTAAAAAAGCAAAAGTCCTAACGAGCCCTCAGGTTGGCGGCGGCACGGGCTGGAACATTGAGGCCATGTCCGAGTTTGTCAACGTGCCCGAGTTCTTCTCCAGCGTTTACCTGGTGGACTTCTCGCCCTCGCTCTGCGAAGTCGCCCGCAAGCGCTTCGCTCGGCTTGGATGGACCAACGTCAAGGTCGTCTGCGAGGACGCGAGAAAGTTCCGCCTCGAGGACTATGAGAATGGTCTCTCGGGCGGCCGGGCTAGCCCGATTCGTTCGTCTCCGAGCTACTTCGAGCCCCGGCCCGACCACGGCGGCGCAGACTTGCTCACCATGTCGTATAGTCTCTCGATGATTGTGCGTAAATTACCACGGGGGGGGGGACGTTCACAATGTCAGCTGCTAACGTATCCACAGCCCGATTACTACTCGGTCATCGACTCGCTCATGTCACTTCTGTCGCCCCATGGCATCATGGGTGTTGTTGATTTCTACGTCCAGTCCAAGGTTGACGTCAGCTTCCGCAACCACACGGGCGGGATGGTAGGCCGCCATGTCAACTACCTCGGCCGCACTTTCTGGCGTGCATGGTTTGACCTCGACCGGGTTTCCCTCGAGCCCGGCCGCCGAGATTACCTGGAATACCGCCTGGGAACCGTGCTCACGGCTAATCTGCGCAACAACACTCTGGGATCCATTCCCTACTACATCTGGCTGGGATGCCACAAGCGGCCCTTCTCTTCGTCCAGCTTGCCTCACGAGATCG